CTGGGCACCAAGCACCTGGGTCCCGAGCAAGAGCACAAGCACCGGGCCCAAGCCCATAGAGGCTAGGCTCGAGGCCTCGATGACCGTGCCCGAATCCCTGGCACCCTAGCCCTAGTCCACAAAAGCCGAGCACGGGATACTGATGCTTAAGTCCACAGAGGCCGGGTTGGGGACCTAGCGCTCCTGTCGACTGAGTCAATCAAGGCCGGGCTCGAGACCCTATTGCCCATGCTTGAGACCCTAGTACCTAGGCACTGAGGCCTTGAGCCCAACCTCGATGGACCCTTGCACTGGCGCCAGGGACCTAAGCGTTGGCACCGGTAGGGCTCGGGCTCCATGGACCCGGGCACTAGCACCAGGATCTCGAGTCTGGGCGCCATGGACTCAGCCCTAGACGTCGAGGATCCGAGAATGAGCGTTAAGGTTTTCGTGCCTAAAAGTAGAGTTTTTGGTCCAAGTGCTGATATCTAGTCATATGCTTGAAAATGATTTTCAATTTTTTAAAGAGAAAATCATATTCCTGAATTTAATTGTAGGTTTTCCGTTGACTCATTTTTTTAAGTAATCCAAACGCCGAAAAATAAGGATTATGTTTTCCCGGAAAATATTTTTCGTGAAAAAAACGGAGTCTTGAAATTACCATATTTTCCTTCATCCATATTAATTATTCACATTAATTGTTATGGGTTACATTCAACATTCAAACAATACATTTAGGGCATATTTATTTGTCATGATTGATTCTTTTTTGTCTGGTTATCATGATTAATTTAAATGGTTGCAAATGTGGAAAGTACTTAAAAACGATAAACTCGTTTCACTCTATAAAGTGAGCAGCTTAGTTAATGCACCCTAATTACGGAAAATGGCCAGCTATGATCCTCTACAATTCAAGCCCACGGTATGTTTGGAAAGTGATTTAGTCTAAAAACTATCCGAATATCGTTGAGATTCATTTTATTAAATGAAGCCAATCATATAATAAAAAATGGCAAGACTTCCATTACTCCCATCATAAAACACAAGTTTATTTTACCGTTCTTATGGTTCGCTCTTAGTTCAACACTTCTAATTTACATTGGCCAATAAGTGCAAATCATGTGGGAAATGAGCCCCATTAATCTCAAATCAATCAAAGAAATTGCTAGATGAGTTCAGACCATTAAAATTGATGAGTGTTATCCCATTTGGTGGTCCAAATTTGATATAGTATATAAAACATAGGTTAAATGAGTAATTTCTACATTATTTGTCACTAGTGTCATCCGCGGAATTGTGGGCCTACTCCCCAAAATCTGCAACTAAACAATGGAAAAATGCACCACCTATATCGGATTTGGTCTGTCTCTTCTTTTGCATTGAATGCACTTGCATCCATGGCTTCCACGTGCCAACCCAGATTATGCATGCCTTGTATGGAGTTGCCTCATTCTCATTAACATCATCGTGACCCCCCTTGATTTACATATCGTTCCCCTTTTTCATTCTCACCTCTTTTGCTCTCGATCAAAACCCTAGTTGTGTGTCTGTGTGCGTGTTCTCATCTTTTGTGTTTGTGAAGAAGGAGGCGAAGAAGAAACTGCATCTGAAAGAAAATGGCTGATGCATCAAACAACACTCTAAACTACCAAAACCATTGCACAATTTGCCTAGAGGGCCTGGCTGTACGCACCACCGTGACCCTTCGCTGCCGCCATACCTTCCATCTGGGTAAGTGTTTCGTCTTGTGTATATATGCATTTATAGACTCATATGTTTTTTCTTTTTTCTTCTTTTTTGTGTGTCTGTGAGTTTTCATTGCGTGCTTCTTCGATTGACGATGCTCTTGTTGTTGAGAGAGAAAGAGAGAGTTTCGTCGAGTTGTTCATACTGCAAACTGATTTGTGTCGTCTTTTTGCTGTTACCCTGTGGACACATGTGCAAGTATATGCAGGTATGTGCGCAAAAATGTGACTACTCGACTGAAAAATGTATAGATCTATGTGAAATACATGTGGACTTACGTTTTGATGCATTTTTTGCTGTGGGGGGTTTGGTCTTGGCGATGGTATACGTAGAGATTAATATTTATTTTTGGGTTAATACCATAAAAAATCACGAACCAGTATTATTGTAATAAATTTACTCCGCACTAATTTTTTGACCACTAAAAACTCCAAACTGGTACACATGTGACAAGTATACTTCTTCAATTGACGTTGTTCTTGTTGTTGAGAGAGAAACAGAGAGTTTTGTCGAGTTGTTCATACTTCAGAACTGATGTGTGTCGTCTTGTTGCTGTTACCCTATGGACACATGTGCAAGTATGCACAGTTTGTGCACGAAAATGTGCCTGCTCGACTGAAAAACGCGTAGTTCTACGTGAAATATGTGGACTTACGTTTTGATGCATTTATTGCTGTGGGGGTTTGGTGTTGGCGATGGTATACGTAGAGATTAATATTTATTTTTGGGTTAATATCATGAAAAATCACAAATCGGTACAACTGTACCAAATTTACCATAAATTAATTTTTTGACCACTAAAAACCCCAAACCGGTACACTTGTGATAAATTTACCCTCCGTTAGTTTCCATTAAATTTTACTATCAAATTGCTGAGTTAGATGACATGTGAAAATTGACGGGTATACCAGTTTGGGGTTTTACTCCTCTGTTTGTCATAGGCTTATCAATTTGTGATTGCAATTTAACAAATGGTAAATTTATCATAAGTGTACCAGTTTGGGGATTTTGGTGGTCAAAACATTTGTTGGAGGTAAATTTGTCATAAGTGTAGCAGTTTGAGATTTTTAGTAGTAAAAAAATTAGTTCGGAGTAAATTTGTCATGCATAATTAGGGTTTTTGTGCATCAATTTAGGGTTTTTCCCTGTGTGCGGACCGTATTAAAAACCATTTATTTTTTATTGGGATACATGAGTCATTATTTGATCGGAAATCAAAGATGCTAATATAAGGCCAATTAAATCTTAGACTACTATATCTTAAGCCAGTGTGTCGTAGTCTTATGATCTTTGTCTAAAAACACAGTTTAGAAAGCCATGTTGTTAGATATATCTTCAAAGGAAAAACTGTTGATTTCTAAGAAGTTTGCACTGTTTTTCTTATATAGGACGTTTCCAGATTTCTCTTTTTATGAAGAAAAAAGAAAAGAAAAAAAAAAAAAGAGGAGATTGCATTTCAACCAAATAAGCAAAATGTGATGACGTGTTCAAAATAAAGAAAATAAAACTATTTTTAATGAAGAGTGCATATAATTGTAATAAACTCAAGAAGTGTATGTTCGAGCGAAAGAATTTCTCGAGAATTAGTTTTTTTGGAGTTTTATGCGTTTGATTTGCTGAAAATGAAAAATCATTTATGGTTAAAGAAAATATGAATGCTTATAATTTTGAAAATGAATTTCCTAACTTGAAAATGGAAAAACATTTTTCTTTTGAAAAAATGATTTTGCGGAAAATATTCATTTGTCGTGAATACATCCTATTGCTTTCTTTATATTATGGATATATCATAAATCAAAACCGATCACAATTTTCTTGACGATAAATGATTTTTAGCAAGTACATTCATCACGTTGATTAGGGTAATTTGATTAACTAACCACCCACAACAATGGTGATAGATGAGGATGTGTAGAAAAAACAGTACCTAGTATTTGCTTATTATAAAGTATCATAGTTAAGGTAAAATCACTAAGTCTATGTTAGGTGCACCGGCCATTAAAAACTTCTACTATACAAAATACTTTATTAATTGGATCGCTTTGATTGTATCTATGTATCTAGTTTTTATTATTATCATTGTGATTCCTTTCTATAAGCTTTATATGTTGAAATATATCATGCATTACATTTTGTATATTGTTCTTTACACATTTGAGTTATTATTTTCTTGCATCGAATTAATGAATCACATATCTTTGGTTACCTTTCATCTTTTGTAATGGAGAGAGAGATCACAATATCAACACAACATGTGAGGAGAGAGTGAAGTTTCTTGGTGAGTGAGAATTTAAGTCACATTCTCTCTTAAGGTAGATAAGTGAATTAATCAATTCATCCTTAGAAGATCTTAATATTTATTAGTGTTGAGCTGACATTATCGATATATTAATGTTAACCCAAATTTGTTAGCGTCGTTGGCCTAGCTAGACATATCAAGATTGCCATAACTTGATATTGATGATCTCAAGCTCATAAGCGATTTGGGTTTTGAAGACCAATACCATTGGCATGGTTTAAAACTTTGTGGTGAATGGCTAGGTGATGTAAAATATTGCACGACTAATGTTCTTTGCGATGTTGACAACTCCATGATTGGTTACATTGTTTAGACTTACCTTCCACTATTCTGTCTAATTAGCATCACATTGTTATCTATAGTAGGCAAAAAGTAAAAAGTATCTACATTAATCAAAGGTGATACTAGTCATTTGACTTAGATTCATCAATCATTGCAAATGTGAGGTTTAATTCCTGCGACTTGATCTCACCGAGTTATTGTCGTGGCGAGTCTAATTAACTAATTGCGACTGGATTGAGGTTGGGAAGACATCAACCATAGTCAATATCGTTCTTTAGCTTTCCTTTTCTCTTAACTCGGATGTTCCATTAGTTCTCTGAAGAAAAAGGGCCGACATATGTATCTCTCCCACGATTGTCCATGCTGTCCTAATGTTTCAAAACGCGTTGAGAGAAAGTTATAGATACATCGATTTCAGTGATAGCATCTTGTGTTAATATAATTCCGCGCCTATACTAAATATTAGTAGAAGCATTATGGTTAGCATGATTATCAATTGGTAACTGAATCTGATGTAATTAGAAGAAGCTTCTTCTTTTGATGTAATATCATCTCATTATGGAAATATAAGTCTATGCTATACTAAATATTAGTGGAAGCATTATTGTCGACCCTCACTCCGTAAAAAAAAAAAAAACCACCAAGAAAGAAAGAAGATGAAACGACATCGCTATATAAGGATCCTCGTACAGAAACTGGAAGTCAGCATGTTGCGGTCCGAGAGAGAGAGAGAGAGAGGGTGACAATGCGATGTCCAGCTGATGCATCTCCCTTCCTGGTAATTCCTGTCAATCTTAGCAAATTGAATGATGGATGATGATGGGCAATCTGTTGCGTTCTTAGAATGTCTAGATTCGTGAATGTATGATGCTCTGTTGCCTCGCATCTGTCGTCCTGATGGTGGGATTTCTTGGGGTTTGTCCATCGGCTGTAGTGTTCCAGTTTCCACCAGATGATGAATCGCGTTCAAGTTGAGCCCTTTGGGTTTGATTTCCGGCAATGAATCGTTTTTGCTTTTTGGGATTGTTTCTGATTCAGATTGCCTGGGTTCGGCCTTCAATGCCGCGAACGCGATGCGCTGCCCCGTGTGCCGGGCCATGGAGGAAGGAGTCTGGAGGACCTTCCCGACCAGAGCTCCTCGGGGCGGCAGAGCGGGTGCCCGTGCGGCCCCGGGAGATGTGCAGGTGCGTCCCGTCGGAATGGTAATGAATAGTCACCCTTACTTGCGTCGAGTTGTTTTGCGCATTCGATTCTCGATTTCGTGGGATCCTGTAAATTCACATTCGCCGTGATTCTAGAATCTGCTAGGACTGTAGATTCGTGGCTTCTTTCCGTTTGGATTTTGAATCTTGGCTTTGCTTGATCATTTTGATAAGCTACAGGTGAAACTGATGGGATAGGGGCAATATGTTGCCCTATTCTGCATGTGGTGTAATGTGGATTGAGTTATCGCTATGACTCTGGTCTCTGCACTTGAGATTTTAAATTTCTTAGACTTTGTGGTGGAAAGAAATCACAGTTTCCTAGTTTCATTAGCTTTGTCTCGTTCTTCTCGTAATGAGCTTGAGTCGATCTGCTTTTTACCTGTGGAAGACTAGGACTGGGGAATTGTATACTTTTGGAGTGGACTGCAAATCAGTTAGAGTTGAATGAGCTCTCCAGAGTATTTTCATGCAATTTTAGGCTCTGTCGAGCTCTTTGCTCCTCCTATCTGTTTTGCTCTCTGTCTTCTTAGTATGTTGTTGGAATCTGATTCAACATGATGAAAGGCCACGTGTATGTGAAGGAAATTACTCGTTCACATCGAAGCAGCAACCTATCAAACTAAATTAGAAGTTAAGGGGCTTAACTGAATGACTGTAAGTTGTGACTAGTGCAAGGCAATTTTAAGCACCTTGTTGATACATAAGTGAAAAAAAAAAAAGGAAAGGTAGAGAGAACAATGATTAGAGAAAAGGCAAAACGTGAAATGGTTGTTCCTTTCCTTCAAACCCTTAACTTTTAAGTGTGCAGCATGTTCGCACGATATCACTATTGCTTTCTTTGCTCTGGTCTGGATCATTAAGAGAGGTCAGCGAAAAGAGATCCTTTGATAGGGAGGACAGTTGATGATGGATGAGATCTTTTATGGAGCATGCAGAATGGGCTTGGATTTGGAATGAGATTAAAGAAGTCTACTGAGGAACAAGCTGGGTTTAAGAAAAGGATAGGGTAAGATTCTTTGGGAATCTAGCAGGTTTAAGGACTTGAATAGTCGAATTTTGTCGCTGCTGATCTTGTTAAAGAGCTTTACACATTGATAACACTAGGAGAAGCTTTCACTGGTGGATATCTTTCTTTGGCAACTTTTACGTTGATAACCTGATCAATTTCCCTTATCATTATGTGGGATGGGAATGACTCATTTTCTTTCTTATGTGGTCATTGAACTTTTGGAAACATTTAATAGCACTATCAATCAAAAATCTATTTCTCTTGTTGGAAATATATTGTAACCAGAGACTACTCATGCACAAGATAGATATATCTTGAAGATAATTTTGACAGCTTCCATCTTTTGTGTTTTGATTTGAGCAAGGAAATATTTTACCATATAGGCATTGAGGAGGTGCAAACACGCATTTAACAAGAGCGGAGAGACCAAAAAACAACCTCATTTACATAAAGAATTCCTATATGGATAATAAACATTCTAGTTGACCGACCTCGATTCTAATTGTTTTGTTCATAAGCAAAGATATCCACAGAACGGTTTGTACTATTTAGATATTCACGACTGAGAAGTACTGAAGTGTCTTTCAGATAGGCTTGTAAAGGAGAAGGAAGGCCAGAATGCCAACAGGCGTCTAGTTTTGAATTCAGGAATTTATTGTCTCTATCGAAGCTTGGGCGTCCCTGAAAATCTTTATGCCATAGGACTACTCCCTTAGCAGTTTTTTTGTTCCTTCCATTCCAAATTGGCCGAATATGAGGAAACATAAAGATGGATCCGTTCTTGTAGCAAGGTACTCTGTGAAGTCCGAACCTCTTTCCATGACCAATCCCCCTCTACGGAAACTTAAGAAGTTGTCTAAATCTACCATGTCCAAGAGCAATGCGGACAGAGGTGCACAACAATTTCCTCTTCCGTTCGGTGAAAGATCGTTGTTTTGCCAATGTTACTCAAATTGCAATATCAGACAATTTTAATAGGTAAAAGATGATCTACTTCCAAGGCACAAAGGAGGTGCCAACTGTATATAAAAAGAGCTCTGCCTCAGTCACTAGACAATACGTCTACAATGTTGATCAAAGCATTTACATCCAAAAGTAACCTTCCATTATACAAAAAATGTAATACACATTTACATAAAGAATCCCTATATGGATAATACACATTCTATTTGACCAAGCTCGATTCTAATTGTTTTGTTCTGAAGCAAAAATATTCACAGAACAGTTCGTACTATTTAGATATTCACGATCAAGAAGTACCGAAGTGTCCTTCGGATAGGCCCAGAAAGGATAAGGAAGGCCGGAATGCCAATAGGCGTCTAGTATTGAATTCAAGAATTTATTGTCTCTATTGAAACTTGGGCATCCCTGAAAATCTTTATGCCATAGGACTACTCCCTCGGCAGTTTTTTTGTTCCTTCCATTCCAAATTGACCGAAATATGGGGAAACACAGATGGATCCGTTCTTGTAGCAAGGTTCTCTGTGAAGTCTGAACCTCTTTCCATGACCAATCCCCCTCTACGAAAGCTTAAGAAGTTGTCTAAATCTACCATGTCCAAGGTCAGTGCCGACGGAGTTGCACAACAATTTCCTCTTCCCTTCGGTGAAAGGTCGTTGTTTTGCCAATGTTACTCAAATTGCAATATCAGACAATTTTTTTAGGTAAAAGATGATCTACTACCAAGGCACAAAGGAGGTGCCAACTGTATATAAAAAGAGCTTGAGAAACATAAATAAGCTTTGCCTCAGTCACCAGACAATGCGTCTGCAATGTTGATCAAAGCGCTCACATCCAAAAGTAAGCTTCCATTATACTAAAATTGTAATACACATTTACATAAAGAATCCCTATATGGATAATACACATTCTAGTTGACCGAGCTTGATTCTAACTGTTTTGTTCCGAAGCAAAGATATCCATAGAACTGTTCATACTATTTATATATTCACAACTAAGAAGTACTGAATTGCCTTTCGGATAGGCTCGGAAAGAAGAAGGAAGGCCGGAATGTCAATAGGCATCTAGTATTGAATTCATGAATTTATTGTCTCTATCGAAACTTGGGCGTCCCTGAATATCTTTATGCCATAGGACTACTCCCTCAGCAGTCTTTTTGGTCCTTCCATTCCAAATTGACCGAAATATGGGGAAACACAAAGATGGATCCATTCTTGTAGCAAGTTACTCTGTGAAGTTCGAACCTCTTTCATGACCAATCCCCCTCTACGGAAGCTTAAGAAGTTGTCTAAATCTACCATGTCCAAGGGCAGTGCAGACAGAGGTGCACAACAATTTCCTCTTCCCTTCGTTGAAAAATCGTTGTTTTGCCAATGTTACTCAGATTGCAATATCCGACAAATTTTTTTAGGTAAAAGATGATCTGCTACCAATGCACGAAGGAGGTGCAAACCATATATAAAAAGAGCTCAAGAACCAAAAAAGAGCTCTGCCTCAGTCACCAGACAATGCGTCTGCAATGTTGATCAAAGCGCTTACATCCAAAAGTAAGCTTCGATTATACTAAAAATGTAAGATTTCTTAGCCAATTTTCAATAATTACTTTAAAAGAGGGCTCCTCTCCTTCAATGACCCTCTTGTTCCACTCTTTCCAAATCAACCAAAAAACATAGAGGAAACAAAGAAATGTCAAAACCTTTTTACTTTAGTATCTTTTGCAATTAAGCTCTTGTAATGAAGCTTGCGAAGCTCCATGTGTTTTACAGGGCTTTTATTCTCTAGGAAGACAAATGAGCTTACACTACAAGATACCTATTATGCGAGTGAAATTGGAGAAGTTACACATCATCCATCTGATGATAAGATGGCTTTTGACTCTACTCGAGTGGTTCTACTATGATCAATGCCAATTCAATTGGATCTCGGCCATATCTGAGGGGTTAAATGGATTAATTTTTACGAGACTCGTGTTTGAACCTATTAGTTAATAAGGTTCGCAATATTGGACATGACCTGTTAATGAGTCGATTGTCATGAGGCAAGGTGAAATATGTGCAGAGAAAACACCAAATATGACATGACATGATACATTTGACTCATATACAAGGATTATAACATGTTTTGATCAAATCAATAATAAATCATTTGACTTTCTAAATTATTATTATGATGTTGTCAGAGAACACGAATAGACACAAATTATAATATAGCTACTACAGAATGATACAAAAAACCTTTTACGTAGTTTTCCAAATATCTCCATTGTTTAATGAATGCATTGCTCACTCTTGGTAATCTTGTTAATCCATACATGTAAAAAAACATCGTTCACATAGCGACAACCACTTGTTTATCTTGTTTAGCGAATCGAAAATGCAACTTCACAAATGTAATCATCATAAAGGCAATTAGAGGTAGCCTTAGTGTAGCCGTAAAAGGTTGCTCCATTGTAGCTGAAATTATGACTTCTAGTCACGAAAACAACCTCTCTAGGAAACTAGAGGTAGTTTGCACATATTAACTTATCCTCGTACACTCAGTACGAGAAGCCTTGTGCACCGGAGTACTCTTTATGTTTCTACCATGCATTTAGTATATCTTCCACTTTGTCCTCAATTTAGCTTCCTTGTGGACTATCAATTCTATATACGGAAAATGATCATCATTCTCTTCCTAAGCCTAGCTTGAATTAAACATAGCCGGACCTTTTATATGCTAAAATAGCATTATTTGCAAGAAAGATGCATTACGTATCTTCATGGATATGCCTTTGTGATTTAAAAGAAATAATATTTATGAAGTAATGGATTCCTCTCAAAAAGTATGCACCTTTAAAAAAGTCAAAGTAATCCCTCAAGGTTGGTATGATTGGCTGGGTTGTCAGAGAATTTGCAGCTCAAGAGTTGGAGATCATCCATTCAAATCCCGTAAAACTGCTCTACTTCAGGGCCGCTTGCATAAAGCAAAGCTCGGACTTAGTCAGTTCATGGGACTTGGGGGACTATATTCCATGGGCTTCATGTAGCTAGGCTCTCTGCAACTGTTCCCCTGAGTTGTAAATGAAATAGTCAAAGTACATGTGCCGCGACACTTGAAAAAGCAAGAAGCAAAAGCCACTCCAAACAAACTCTTATACGACCAAGAAGTCAATTTATTGCTTGAAAATTGTAGCATAGGGGTATAATTTGTTCTTTGCCATTGTTACACTCTCTTATCCTACATGAACATTGGCGAAGACAAGATTTCTCTAGTAGAGCATCAGACTGATATTGGAAGTGTCTTCTTGGACCACAAAATACATACTTTTCATCAAAGTCGCTTGTAATAACCAAGCATCATTTAGGTCAACTGAGGCCGGTATCGTTGCTTTGGCTGTTTAATAAAAGCTGGTATGGTTACTGGACAATTATATAAAATTCCTGTTTTGAATTGATGCTAAATTTGTTGTTGCCCTCTATGCCTTTCTTGTCCCTGACCATATGGAGGGAACAGTGGAAGAGAGGCTAAATTTTTATGAGAAATTGATATTCAACAAGTTTCTAGACTGAACTAGTTACTGAGACTACTCATTACTCATGCTTTTCTCTAGAAGTTGGAGAAGTTGGCTAGGAAAAAATGAACAGTTTCAGTGTTCAAAAGACAAAGTCGATGGAGACGTATATCATTTTGGCAATATGATTGGCTAATTACACCACGTCAACCACGCAGCTAGTCATAAAAATATTTTTTACATTAGGTATAAGAGAGGACTTCTGCTGGAGTACTTATCCAAAAATGGTTAATCAGTAATAGTGGAATATTTTCCCATGTATTATCATAGAGGGAGTGGTCTGGAAGTCGTAAAAGAGCCCGCATCATTGACAATTGAGATGATAATAGGCTTATCTAGTTGCTGTGGACTTCATTCTGAGTTTAATTGACTGCTGCCTCTCGCTTTATGGAAGTTCTTTGAATTGGTCATGATCTCTGTATTCCGTTATGCCGTTATTTTGACCATAGTATGATGATTTTATCTGTCTCTTGCAACCACACTCTTGCCTCTATAATTGTGCTTCAGTTTGTGTTTCATTGATTTTACTCTTGGGTGATAATTGTATTGTCATACCTGTTACATTGTCTAATAGATAGTTGTTTTCTCAAGTCGAATCTTTTGTTGATTTGTGCAGCAGCCACCATCTGGAATTTACTGGAGCCTTGATCAGGGATGGTAAGTGTGGATTTTCCTTGAGATTGCAGAGTGTTTACTTTTTGCCATGTCTGTAAGAAGAGCAAATGCTTGTTTTTATGATTAACGGTTACTATCTCTTATATTTTTGTGGAAGCTTCATTGTTAATTTTCTTTCCCTTATATGTCAAACCTCGGTTGTATGATAAATACTAGCGTTACATAGACCTTGAGCTTCCTTCTTTGGCTCAGTAGCAACTTTCTTAAAGCAAACAATTTCTCCAATTTTCAATCTTCTATACCTGGTATACCATTCCTGTTTATCTTGATGATCCTCAATAACAAAGGAGAATTCGAGGAATTTCTAGATATTGGATTTGCAATGCTGGAAATATCAGCTTGTGCTGAATATAGCTACTTGTTCGGTTTTTTTTTGGTACTCTGATTTATGTGATCATCAATTACCATTATTTTGTTTTTGGACCTTTTGGAGTGTACGTTGTTAAAACTTGATGCATTAGCAGATGTTCATTTTTTTTATCCTATTATAAGTTTCTCAAGCTTCCATAGAAAGCCAGTTGAGTGCATCATCATTTCCAGATACATTGCGAGTTTATTATGGACAAGAACATGAATCTTTTGTGTCTGAACTCTTCATGAAATTGTTTGATTCATCAGGCTGTGAGGTCTAAATAGGAACCTTTCGAATAGTTGTCACCTATTCCGTAAAGAAGTTATAGAACTTTATAAATTATTGTCCCATCTCTGGATGGATTTTACAGCAGTGGTCCTATGGTGGAGTGGGTAGTGAGTTCATGGCTGTCTCGTATTTCATAGGTCCAGGCTCTTGAACGGATTTGAATCTGATGCCATAAATAATGGTTCTCTCTAGAATACAATTCACCGTGAAATTAATTTTAGAGGAGCAATTTCCACATTGTAATTGAGGTTCTTTTAAATAAATTCCATCGTAGTGCTAGGCTGCTAGCAAATTTGATGTCTTGGGGATCTTGTTTTCCCTCCTACTGGTATCACATAATTTTGCAGCTTTGCTATCTCCATCTGAACTCTTTTCTTAAGTAACAAATTTTCTTGTCTAGAATGCTTGTTTAGATAGTGGCCTGTCGATGTACTAGGAAAATTCAACTGGAAAGAAGTCCCGTTTAGGTCATTACAATTCGTTACATTACTTTTACATGGTGATCAAGATCTTTATAAAAGGATGCATCAGATTATGCAGAAAAACGTACGGATATTTAAGTCTGGCATTCTTCATCAATGCTCAAAAGAAAAAAGGCTGATGTGCAGACGAAATGAAGTAAATATAAGAGGCAAGACTGCTATAAGTAGGGGACGTTCAAGCTTTTATTGTTTTTCTTAATTTTTTCTTTTTTATTAGCTTTCTTAGCACAATGGCGTTTTTTATGTTGCCGAAGGAAATGCAGATAAATTATGGAAAGCTTTCATTGAAGTAGTTGCAAAAGAAAAAGTAAGTAGTGTTTTTTGGCAGAAGAAAAGTAAGTGGTTGCAAATTAAGATAAGGAACATCAGAAATGCAGCATCTCTTCTTAGATATACTTGTTAGTCTGATGTTGTTTCAAGTGAAATATTTTCTTTTTATTAGGAGTTCAAGAGGTCATGTGTGGCGTGTATGGTGTGATCACACGTTTAGTCATCAATGTTGATACATCATTCTATTTTATGATTGTTTTGTACGGAAAACATCAATTAGATCTCAACCTGCATGCTCCAGGCAAACTTGATCTGTGGTGTCTCGGACTTTTTTAGGGTTTTGCCTTTTGGTCCAGACTAGTCATTTGACACTATTAAATTAGTTACGATGTGTCCATTCAGTGGTTTTGAGATCTAAAAGTATAAACGTCGTTATTTAGCTGATTAAATTAGGCTACCCTGCTACAGTCTTCTGTTTCTTTGCTTTAAAACTCATCTTCCATATGTAGTGTTCTTTCCTTCCCACTTACAATTTTTTTTACTTTTGCAGGTTCAGCGGATCCCCATCACTTGGACGTAAGTTTCGATGGCCAGTGTGCTGATGAGTGTGCTACCTTTACTGGGATATTAATTAAGTGCTATATTTTGCAGATGGCAGTCCTATTAGACACCCCTACTCCTTTCCACGCCACCGCAGAGAAACTGCCCATATGATGATGGGTTCAGTTAATGGTTCTGGTCGGGCCTCACCGTCATCTCAGGTGACAAGGATCACACATCTTCTTCTCGGCGTCAACAGAAGGACGGATCATGGATATTCATTTCAGGGTAATGTTGGCCCCAATGAACACTATGATTTGTTTCCTCAAGGGATGAACAGCATCCAACCTGTCGGACTTGAAGCACCAGACCTTGCGTTCTTGGGGGAGCCCATTTTCAATATGAGGTAAATCTTTATCAAATTAGAGGCTCCTCCACATCCCTAAAAACATCCTCCTCATTGTGATTGGTAATGGTTAATCATTCTTTTATTTTGTGCCAGCATCTTTTCGTAATCCTGTCAATGCTCCACCATTTCTTGGTAGATACTGACATATTTATGGTGAAGAATAGATGCTATACTTAAGTAGCAATCTTGCATTACCGCCTTCCATTCTTTTTTTTTCCTCGGCATGATTTTGTTGGTAAAAAGTACTATCAACTCACAACTCAAAGGTGATGATCTAATTCTGATATTGGTTACACTTTGTCCTTTGGAGAGCCAGTGCTGGGAGCTTATTTGGACCCTTAGCTGGTGCAGCTCCTGTGGAGCAGTCAATGAATTTACCGTCTCCACCGGTGCGCGCCATGATGCGTGCTGCAAGCAATCGTTCCAGCTCAAGTGGCCTGCTACCAGCTGAGCAGATGGCTTTTCAAGCTGGAGGATCTGGAACGGTCAACATCCAGTTACCCAACGTTGGTGAAGTGGTGGTGGCTTCAGGTGCGGATGTTCAGCCAGGAGATGGAGTGGATGGTTCTGAGGACATTATTACAGATGGCGAGGAATCCGTTGAAGACCTGTTGGAGTGATCGGACAGAGGAAACTAGATGGAAGGTTTGTTTCCAAACTGATCTCATCAGTATGGTGGGGTCGTGAAGAAAACTGCCTGGGCGAATAAATGATTTCCTGAAGTGGATGATTGTGGTATGTTAGTAAACAGTTGGAAGTGAAAACCTTGTATGCTTCATTTATGGTCTGTAATAAGTCCCGTAGCTGGGAACTTCTCGTTTATTTCCATAATGCGGCTCAGCCATATGCTGAAAACTCCGCGATGCTCTAATGTCTCTAGAGAACATCAGTGAATTTCAATAGAAGTTGCTGCTTTTGTGAAATTCTTGGTAAATCATTTCTTGCTGCCTGATCACCGTTGGGAATAGAACTCTTCTGCATTTTTCCGTCGAATGAAGTTATGCAGTTGAAGAGTATCAATGCTTTTCAGGGACTTTTAAGTGTGATTTAGCTATGGGTCGATACCCCGGGCGACCGGTTCACTTGGCTGTCCGGTTCACTTGGCTGTCGAAGCTACCTGTGGACTCTATGCTTCGGTGGGCAAGAGGTATCAAAATTTTCCCTTGCATAGTACTTGTTTGATATTAATTTTTTCTTATTCTTCGATTGCAATTTTCACGATTCCTCTAGTAACATGCAACCTTGGTAGGCTCATGTTCATGTCAGCCTGTGCATTGCCTCAGCACCCGCTTGCCAGGCTTGTGCTGCATTTGAAATGAATGTTAATACAACACGACCACATGCAAACAGAGGCTATGGAAATTTACTTGGCTATAAGTTATAGCCTGGCAGGCTTCACCTAAATATATTTGACGCATTATTATCTTCTTTTTTTAATAAAATTTTTCTCCATCTTGGACTGTATCAACTGTTCACGATCTCACAAATCAAACCCTTTTGTCCTTTCTTCAAATTAAAAATTTTTAAATAAAATAACTGTTGGCTTGTAGAATATACTATGGGCCGTCGTCAGCATGGAACAACTTAGACAAGCGTGGTGGATCGTAGAATATTAGTATAATCAAGATGGCGAAAGTCAAAAAATTTTAAAAAAATATATGTATATCATCCAATAAACAAAACAGAAAGAAATAAAGAATGGACGCACGAGAAAGTCGAAATAATTGAACAAAGTTCAGAAAACGCCAAACGTTATTGACTCCTCTTGTGATCCGGCGGACAGAAAGGTTCGTATAAATTTCACTCTCGTATAAATACATGGACTCGGAAGAAAGAACAAATTTTAGAGATGGGGTTTGTAGAAAACTGTAAGATGAAGATCGGGTTCGTCTAAAAAGTCTAAATCGCTAGATGAAAGTGAAGTTCATCGCGGAATGCTCCAAACGGACGGAGACGAACGGCGTCGGTGAGACGATAGTCTGACCATATGGACTCGTAACCAAATGTAATCGCACATCCCGAAATAGGTTTTACCACGGAGCGAGGATGTTTGTTTCGGTACCGACACTTTGATACGAAACTTGCAATGGACTAAAAGGTTTTACATTACCATAATTTAAGGTACTCGCTATGTAGTTTACACACTCATATTTTTCACATTCCATATCCACCTCATTCCCAACCACCACCACCATCCCATTTACAGGCCCTAGGGCATTTACGTATCTCTCTTACGAAACAAAATCTACACTGTCACCCTACGTAAAACTCATACCAAAGTCAACGCCCAGAAAAACAAATTTGGCAAAAAAAAAGAAAAAGCAAAGAGAAGCTAACACTAATAGCGATATCACAATTATATTGAGAACTTGGATCAACCCCTACCAAGTATTTTCACTCATCGTCTCCTTCCTCCTCGCCCCCACCAAAGAGAGATATCTTGTTCTGCAGCAGAAACAAGACCAGGATGAGAACCAATGCGACGCCGACTGGCGACGGCGACCCCCCGAAATACCGCTCGAACGGATCTGGTTCGCCATAAGGAGGATAGCCTCCGGGGGAGAAATGCGCGCGGCGGTTGGACGAGATGAATTGGATGGTGAGGAGGAGGACTACGGTGAAGATGAGAAGGCTGGCGGGCGAAAGTAGCTCTATAATGGAGTCGAGCATAGCCTGGCCTTGCTCGCCGATGATGTACGGGCCGAGGACCACCACGCCGACCACCACCACGAGGAGGAGCCCTTGTTGGGACGGTGCACCGCCACCGCCATAGCCATATCTCTCTTGCATCATCTTTTTGGTGTGTGACTTTTGTGGAGGTTGAGGTTGTAGTGTTGTTTCTTGGTGCTTTTGTGTGCGGGGTTGCAAGTACTTATGTTTCTTGTGTTTCACCATTTATGGAGTTTTAAATTGTGAGTTAGGTCTTAATATATGGTGATAGCTGTACTGAGAGGAGGGCGAGCTTCTCTGAGGGAGGATTTACTTAGCCTTTATTATACTTAGCATAATAATAATTTCTATAATGAAGATACATTTTCAACCCATTTGTCAGTCCACACAGCTTGCTGCTTTTTCACCTTTTATAGTTTCTTTTACCGTACTGTTTTGAGCTTCAAATAAGCAGTTGAATTTGCAAGGGCAACAGTATGGCAAAATAATATCTAAAACAATGAAATATATGGAAATACTCATTCTCAGGCGCAATACTCATTGAAGAAAAACAAAGCATTCCGGTCAAAAAGTTAAACAGATGATTTTAAGGAAAGAAAGTGGTGGAAACATGGTTTAACAAAGCGGTTTTGCAACGATATTGTTGATATACGTCTGATTAGTAGATGGTGAGAACAGACTGTAACAAAAATGGACAAATTATGAATGTTGGAAATTAATTACTCTACTCAATGATCCTAATATCTAGTTCAATAAGCGATAAGTGCATTTAGACCATTTAGAAAAAATTTCTTCTTCTTCTTCTTCTTTTTTTTGGTAAATTTCCTCCATCAATTTAAAGTAAATACTTAGCTCTGCCATGGCATAGTGTTGGATTATATATAAACAAAGGGTTAGGTTGCGTAAAGAAACTTCAGATGGCTTTAGTCAACAAAGCTATTAAAGAGGATTTCCTTGATTTTTGTTTTAGGGGATGACATGCATGTGAGGTTGGAGACAACACAACAGATTTGGAGATCTCAATACAGATTGTTCCAAGGGGATTTTCTTATTAGATAATACTTGATCATCCCAATAATCTTACTGATACAGAGTAGATCTATCTTAACTAGGCTGATTAGTACTCATCATTTCACCGATCTCCATGCCTGTGATTAGCAGCAACTTGTCACTAACTTATTACCCTCTCTTCAAACTTCAGTTGGGTGTTTAATATGGTTAGTTGGTTGATTTATTAACAACTACTGATCAGTAGTTGTGGGCTGCAGGAAGATGTCAGCAGTGAGCTAGGAAGTTTAGCCTAGAATTCAATCGTTAGGTGAACCGAGCCTTTTTTTTTTATTGGAGCTGGAAGAAAAAATAGCCAATCGCCTGCCCATTTGGTGTTAATCCCTTAGTTGATTACTCAAGGTGTCTCTAATTGATCTTGTCAAATTCCCAAAGTATAGCTCTTGATTTTATTCTTTCTTGTAATCAAAATTTGGGAAGAGACAAGGAAGCAACTTACACAAGGAAATATACACAGTTCGAACTCCCCAATTTGGAAGGGCTAGTTGACCTCCAGAGTCGTGCATAACAGAAGCCGAACGCTCGAATTTGTTTTATCGAAATTAAAATAATACGAGGCGATGTTAAGTAAATTGGATAATGTGATCTTCTTTTTTCATGTCCATGTATTTGATACTAATTTGTCTAGATAGATTTGGTTCTCTTGCTTGATTTTGAGATAATGCTTGATTAATTATCTTAGCCATGATCACTTAGCACTGATGATAGTGATAAGTTTCCATTTTTAGTCCTTTCTCAGATGAATGGTTTATTTTAATCCGAAACATCGATATTAAAAAATTGCCAATACACCAGCATGCGCAAGAGGTCCTGATCACCTTCAGGCTTCAGCATGCTTCTTGCACTTTCGTATTCTCTGGAGTTTCCTCTTCATTTGTTTATATTCTTTCCTTTTCAAAGAGATCATACTGAATTATGTTAGGTCAGCGGTCGAATTACAGATCTAATTCACAAAATAATATGATAGATTCCAATTGGGTGTCGAATACGATTTGTTTCTTTAGATGCTCACTTACTATTTATCACATAATCCTTCTTGAACTAATTTTGTAAAACAGGGCTTTTATAAAATACAATAGGAAGGTGTAAGCGAAAAAGAAGAACAGAAAAGCATAAAAAATGAAAGAGTATTTAAGAGGGAAGAGATTTCATAAACTTTGAATGAAATGGCAAGCAGGTAAACTGTCAGCATCAATGATGGTTGACTTAAACTTTTGTGGGTGATCAGTACTGTGAATCTGTGATTAACCTCCAAGGTGCTCTGCCTGAACTTACACGGTACTAGATTTTCCAATCCGTTGAAACATCGAAAGGGCCTAGCTCCGCTGGTTTATACTTCGAATCATAACAAAGGTAAAGAAAGTATGACATCAAACAACAGAAGCAATTGCAAAAGTTGCTCAATTACAGCTTGACCTGCCAATTGATGGCATATCTCAACTCATTGTTCACAAGACGAATGACATACAAGGCAGATTGCCACGAAATACCATGTTTATTTGCGAAGAAGATCGCTTACTTTCATAAAAGAAAATTTTCTTCAGATTGGTGAAGATCTGAATGCTGAAATAGCAGATGATCATCACCAGTTTTTAAGAATTTGTGCTTCGCACATACAAAGAAATGTTTTTCAGAAGCTTTGATTGTTCAACAACTATGCACCATAATCACACATTGCGTATGAGCACCTACTTTGTGCAGGGCACTCCTCAAAACAGGAACCGCAGTTGTGAGGATCAAACTGAACGTTAACACATTCCCCACCACAGCATACCAGGCCATAGGCACAGGCACGGCCGCACGTGCCGCAGTGGCTTGCGTCCCTTGTGGTGTCCTTGCAGTACTGGCCAAAGCAACATGTGTCCCCGCCCCACGGATTCTGCTCACGGTTGGAGCAGACCGTGGGATTGCCGGCGCAGGATAGCGCCCTCTGCCTCCCCCTCAGCGCAAAACGGAAAAAGTTGGAGTGCGTCGGAATCGGAACCTCGGAATGCTGCAAATCCATTTTCCGGGCCACAATAACTCCATGGCAAGTTCCTATCAATAGGAAGAAAATCAGAGGCCAGTAAGATTTAATAGTGGCACTGAGTGTGGGAAGCTTGAAGGTGTCTCCAGATTGGGCATTTTCAGGTAGCAAAAGCATGGAACTTTACACGGCAAAGTCCACATTTGTGTCATGCACATAACATTTTTTGTGAGAGAACAGATTATAGAAGGCGTCAGGAGGAGCAATACCTCGTGTCCTGGAAAGGGTCATCGATAATCTGATTGGTTATATTAGGTTTCGAGCTTATTAAGATTCGCAGCATGAGGACAATCCGATTACGTAGCGGATCGACCTAACATTTCTGCAAACTACTAGTAGAGTACCTATGTGTAGTTAAGGACTAAGAAAACAAGATGACTATTGATTTCTTTACACTGTTGGTCGATGAGAATCTTCTAACTACTCAATTGTTATTTAGCATCAGAAAAGGACCGGTCATCTAAATGGGTTGAAAGGACAATGCTAACGACTATGGAACTTTATCTGCTCTCAGTAGAACTAGTATCACGTGGGAATGGCCAGCCAGAGAGCTTCATTTTGCCAAATTAAAAAATGAACATAGAAAATGATGTAGAGATAATATAAGGGTCATAAGTAGACTGAACAAACAGATTACGATACAAAATATAAAGCAGTTGAGTGTCGATTGCCATAAAGCTGGAGCAAGCACCTGCGTGCACGCTTTGAATTTGAAGAATTCAGCATATCATCCATGGAGAAAGCAGAGGAGGCACAAAACTAAGAGTTGCACTGGAACCTGATAGGTATAAGATCATGTTCAATTAGAGCAAAAACAGTAGTTGTTAAGCCAAAGCCCATTACTAGCAGCAAGAATTTGGATCATCAGCAACCACATAATTTTAATGCATCGTCAGGTAATGACTGATTTTGCACTCCAAGAACGAAGTAGTTATACTAATTAATTGCGGATGTGCTGAAACTCGAATAAAATGAAAGAAACAAAGTCATGCCAAGTTGTTCGAACAGGTCTGAGAGCAAATAGTAGTTCTAAGACCGGTCAGTAGCTGACCAAAACTAGTGGAAGCGGCATCAGCAGGGATTGCAGCAGAGCCGGGGGTGGGTGGTGATCAAATGTAATGGCGACAGGGATGACAGTTAAGTGGTGGCCGTGGCGATATTGACCATGACTGTGGGTGGCAATGAGTTAGTGATGAAGGTGCTGTGTCTTGGGTGCTCAAGATGGTAGTGAAGCAATGATGGAACAGTAGTCACGGTGATGCGCCGCTGGTGGAGGTGGTGTCAGCTGTGACGGCTCTAGTAAGATGAGAATGTATTAACCAAAAAACTATTTAACAACCCGAAAACTCTGCATTACTACCTTATCAGATCATCAAACTCAAATCCAAAACAAGAAAACGGATTTTCACTAGAGAGTTTTAGTCTTACAACATTCAGCGCTTCAGCTCCATAACTTTATGTACTGACCATTTCGTTTTATAACACAGTTCAGACTCTGAGTGTGGTTTAAGAGCAAATTATAAACTTGTTCATCTTTTTTTCCAAACATTTTTACGGTCTCGCCTGGCTCCATCAATCACAAGCCTCGGGCCCAGTTGCAACATGTTCCAGCTTCACTCTCCATTGAACCTGAACGAAAGCCTCCATTTGGAATTTCAGTTTTTTCCGGCATAAAGAAATGACAAAACCTCTTGGACAGACTAAGGAACACTCGACATACATACCAGGTTGTAAAGATTGTATGAGCTTGCTGGAAATTTGTGGCCACTCTTGTAATCCCGGAACGGCCGGAACCATAAGCTCCCAATTGCCACCTTCAACAAGACATTGAGCACACGATGTCAGATCGCGAAAACAACATGAATAGGATGGCGGAAAGACTCCAAGAAAGTCTTGCACTGATTCACAAACTCTCCCTTGGAATAACGGTGTTTTCCCTGTGGCATGTTTAGAGTCGAGGTTCTTAAGCACGCGAAAGCTTATCACTAGGAACGCCAATTGCTTCGCAACAGCTTAAGTGTCGTTGGAGGCTATGGAGTCCAAGATAAAAGGAGTTCAAGACACGCAGTCACACACCTCGGTCATCACCAGAACCCAATTCATCGTTCACGGCCAGTGTCATGCTGACCCCAGATTAGCTTACGTGAGCCGCATCGACAGACTCGAAAAACGTCAATTTCTCCGAGCATTGCTCTGCTAAGGAATCAAACAGAGAGTTGACCTGCATCGTGCTGAAGGAATACTCCCAACAAATCTTGATCTCATTGTCCCGTAAACATTGCACGCGCGGATTTCGCAACCCACATGTTCATTTGGGAAGATCAAGGATTCATCTGTGCTTTTCTTTCAATCAATCTCCAATACAAGGTTTCTTAGCCTTGTCCAACACATACCACCTTCATCACTGTCAACATGGGTAGTTTTATTTTCATTAGCTAGCACTCAAAAGGAGTGCTGCTCCAGACTTTTCCATATGACCTTCGTTCATCAGCTAAAAGCAGTGCACCTGCATAACTGCGGGTGATTTATTTATTCTTTTTCGCTTTAAATTATTGATGTTAAGGAAATCAATCAATCACCGAAATTCAAGAAATCAGCAACAATCAAGCAATCAACAATATTCTGGTTCCACAAACGATGGTAACACCAAAGAAGGAAGATTGGAAGAATCAAGCAAAGAAGGAAACCCACAACACAATCTCCACCAAAGAAAGAAACAAATTGACAGAATCAAATTCCCACAAATCAAGCATCAACAAATCACTACATCAATTCCCAATCAGTGAATTACGTTTCCTTTGAAAACCCCCTTAAATGTAGACATTGATTTTCTCGTAAAAGTTCATAAATGGAGCCTCTGTAATTGTACAAAGACACGACATAAAAATACAAAATACAGAAAGATTATTCACACATTCCTTCCTGTTCTTCTGTTTAGTTCTTCCTCACTATTCTTAGTCTCAACATGATATCAAAGCATACTAGCGAAAGCCCTCGATCCAACACTAACTCAACTCCTGTATCCTCAGAAATAATCACTACCGCTACCCTTCCACATCTTGCAGCTCCAAATTCGACACTCAATCTTCACTCCCCACCCACCATAGGGGAAAAACTCACTGGGCAAAATTACCCAATCTGGAAAGCCCAAATTACCCCATATCTTCTTGCAGCCAATCTTCTCTCTGTTCTTGATGGCTCGGAACCAGCTCCTCCGCAACACATCTCACATGCTTCCAACAATGGCACACTGGTGCCAATCCCGAATACAAGGCATGGCGAATCTGTGACTCAATCACGATGGGGTGGATTCTCAATTCATCCACCTCTCCTGTCGTCGCTCAATTGACGAACCACACCTCTGCAGCAGCCATCTGGAGATACCTCTCCGACTCTTATGCTGCACAATCAACAGCACGGGCGTCGGCTTTGCGACTTCAATTTCAAACCATTACGAAAGGAAGCCGTACAATAACAGAATTTCTTCACGAGGCAGCCACCATCGTAGATTAATTAGCCACAATTGGAGAACCCTATCAGCAAACAAGTACCACACACACATCTTCCGTGGTCTTGGACCAGAATTTTCCGGGTTGGACACAGTGATCACCGTCGTCTCTCAATCAGGAGCACTCTCACGTGACGCCTTTCATGGTTTGCTCCTTCAACACGAAGGAAGATTGGAAATCAACAAAATGACCTCCAATACCCCTCCACTTGCTGCTTTTTTATCTCGCCAGTCGAGATTCACATCTCAACAGTCTAAAGGGGGCACTCAAAATTTCAGCCCATCAATTGCAAGCAGCGGTTTAATCCCCAATTTATTGCACCGGCACCACCTCAGGCACATTATTCGGCCCCAACCGGAACTACTCAACCCATAGCTTATTATGCCTCACCTGCTACTTCACCTTCTGCGATGGATATTCAGTCTTGGTATCTAGATTCTGGAGCCACCCACCACATCATCGACAGCATTTCCGGCCTCTCCCAGGTCACTCCATACACCGGGAATCAACAATTGACTGTGGGTGATAGAGTTTCCCTTCCCATCACTCACACAGGTACATTTGTGACTACAACTGGTCCACAATTTCGTCTCTTAGATGTCTTAGTTGTTCCTCATATTACAAAAAATCTGCTGTCAGTTTCTAAATTTTCGCTCGATAACAATTGCGTCTTCTTATTTTACCCCACCTCATTTGTTGCTATGTGTGTTCATACTGGTCAAGTATTCCTCCGAGGTCATCTTGAGGATGGTCTATATATGGTCTCCACCTCTGACAAGTCTCCGTCAACTTTCCTTGGTTCCTTCAACTTATGGCATCAATGCTTGGGTCATGCGTCATCTGATCGAATAACTCGTTTGCTTCAATCCACACAAACACAATTTTCCAAGTCATCTCCCTCCCATTGTACGGCTTGTGCTCTTAGCAAGAGTAAACGCCAACGCCACCCCTCCATCCCCTTCTAGAGCTAAATTCCCCGTTGAACTTGTTCACTTTGATGTCTGGGGACCATCCCTGTCACTTCTGTTTCAGGATATAAATATTATGTATGTTTTGTCGATGACCATTCTCGGTTCACTTGGTATTATCCTTTCACCACTCGTGATCAATTTGCAGACATTTTTAAGGCTTTTCACAAATTTGCAGAAACTCAATTGCAACGTACTCTTAAGACAATTCAATGCGATGGCATACCAGAATTTCGCCGCTCTACTGAAGTGTGAAACCATCTCCTCCAACATGGTATTCATCAACGAGTATCTTGTCCATATGCTCCATTCCAGAATGGCACCGCTAAACACAAACACCGCCACATTATCGAGACGGGCCTAGCTCTTATGTCCCACGCTTTAGTTCCGTACCGGTTCTAGGAATATGCTTTTGAAACAGCTGTACATCTTATTAACAGGACACCGACTCCTCTCCTCAACAATCTCACACCCTGGCAAACACTGTTCCAAACACCACCAGAGATTTCACACCTCAAAGCTTTTGCGCAATTTTTCCATACTTGCGGCCCTATACCACTCACAAACTTGCCCTAAGATCACACCGCTGCATCTTTCTTGGCTATCCTCCGAGGATAACAAAGGGAAATTGTTGAGGTAACACCAAAAGGAAGATTAAACAATCAAAAATTAAATCTCCACAAATCAAGAATTAACAAATCACTACATCAATTCCCAATCAATGAATTACATTTCCTTTCAAAACCCCCTTAAGTGTAGACATTGGTTTTCTTGTGAAAGTCTATAAATAGAGCCTCTGCAATTGTACAAAGACACGACAGAAAAATACAAAATACAGAAAGATTGTTCATACATTTTCTCCTCTGTTTTTCTGTTCAATTCTTCCTCACTATTCTTAGTTTCAACACTTGAGAAGCGCTATTTATTTTACCAAATTGGCCTCATGTGGAATGTTTTTTTATTCTTAAGATAGTATTTCGTATTAGATTTTGTGGATATCAAGATCGATGAGAAAAATTTAAATGTGTGAACTAAAGAGATGGAGAAACAGGCATGAAGTCAATAAAGGAATCACACTAAAGGAAAGGAGCCAAAGCTCCTGCGGGGCCTCTACTGCCTGTCCCGTAATCGGGTGGACAAATAGAGACCATATTTAATTTTAAAATTTATGAGGAGGGGTGAACTAAAAAGAGGGACAAATAGGCATGAAGTGGATGAATATTTGATTTTGTCATAATTTTTGCAAATTAAAGGTTTACCTTTATTCAATTTCTAAATCTTTTTAAAAGGGCATTTAGGAAAAAAAAAACGGAGACCATATAGTTAATATCATAAAAAAAACCCCAAATTGGTACAACTGTGACAATTTTACCCAAAACTAATATTTTGACCACAAAAAATCCCAAACTGATGCACATATGACAATTTTATCTAAAACTAATATTTTAACCACTAAAAACTCCAAACTTGTACATTTGTGACAAATTTATCCTCCGTTAGTTTCCGTTAAATTGAATTAATACGAAAAAAATCACAAATCGTTACACCTTAGATAAACAGAGGATAAAACATAAAACTGACACATCAGTTAAATGCCGTGTGTCATTTAACAAAGCAATTTCACAGTAAAATTTAACGGAAATAAACTGAAGGTAAATTTATCATAGGTGTACCAGTTTGGGATTTTTGTTGATCAAAATATTAGTTCGAAGTAAAATTATTACAGATATATCAGTTTAGGATTTTTCGTGATATTAATTATTATTATTATTATTCTCTTCTCTCCCTCTCGGATAGCTACCAGTACAGTGCAGAGAGAGGCAACGCCAGCACAAGCTAAGAAGCTAAAACCCTAAGGCATTTCCAGCCATTGTCGTCCGCCGGAGGATCGGAGCAGAGGCAGAGGCGGAAGCGGCCGATGCCGGGGCCGGTGGTCGAGATGGAGCCGGTGGAGCCGCAGTCGCTGAAGAAGCTGAGCTTCAAGTCCCTCAAGCGCGCCCTCGACCTCTTCTCCCCCGTCCACGGCCAGATCGCTCCTCCCGACCCCGAGAGGTAATCTTTCTTTCGGAAACCCTAATCGCTCTTTTGGTGGGTTTTGCGGGCGAAAGCTGACCGAGGTTTGTTCTGGGTGCAGCAAGAAGATGCGCATCAGCTACAAGGTTAGTAGTGGCTTCTTCTCGTAGTTACTCTTCTGGGCAAGTACGTTTCCTTTGAAAGAGTTGGTTTTTTATGTGGGGTTTGTTGGTCGTTTGGTTGCGGCTTGTTGATTGGCGAGGCGCTTTTGAGCGACGTTCTGGTTTGAAACTCTGCAGCTTAATTTGGAGTATGGAGGAGCTGGTGGGAATGAGAGCCAGGCTCCCAAGGGGAAAGAGACCGGCGCTGCGCAGGATCAAGGCCAACAAGTTGCTGGGGCTTCCAATGCGCTTGCTCTTCCGGGTGCGCTAAGTTTGTCTGTTTTCTAGATCATGGGTCCGCGGCCTTCTTCCGGGCAATGTGTATTTGACTGTGCATTTGTGTGCATAAAAGGGTTGTTACTAACATCTGGAAATCAGCACATGCACCACTCAAAATCGATAATTGGAAAGCTGTTAGCGTCTTCGGGTCCTGGGATCTAACTACTTTGTGTTCTTTCGATGGTTATCCTATTATTGACGGCTTTTAACATATTTAATCTGTTGAAAGAGCAATTGTAAGTTAGGGCATTTAGTCGCCCTTTGAACTAATGTTTCTGATTTGGTGCAACCGATTGGCTTCGGCATGTCTTTTTCATGAGGAGTTTCCTCTTGTTTTTGGATAAGAGACTGTCAAATGGCATACTAGACATAGTGGACCGATCTCGTGTTGACAACAGTGTATCCGGGAGGGACCTCAGTGCTGTCATTCTTAATGATACCATTTTGCTATAATTATTAGAGGGAAGAAAGGAGAGTGTCAAATTCTAATTACATAGTTTACGTACCTCAGAAGTTATGGACAGTTAGAAGAGAACCGAGGCTTTAATTTGCTTGTTAATATATGTTTCTTCCCTTTGTTAAAGAAGAGAAGGTTGTTCTTTTCTTCTTTGTCTAGCTTTCCTTGAGAATCGCATTTCAAACTTCGAGTGTCGAATTCAATTATAACTGATCCTTTGATACTTTACTAAATCACAGACAGAATATATGTAGTTAGTGTGTGTGTGCAGTGTTGAATTCTTATGACAAATTTTGTTAATCTGTCAAGTTGTTGTGGATCAGAAGAGAATTTATGCCCTAGTATGCTGTTGATTGACATGCGTTTCTTCTTTGGTTAAATAAGAGAAGCTCTAACTTCTCTTCTTCTTTTTGTTTTCCTTGATGTGCACATTATTCATACTTTTGATGTCAAATTTAAATTTTGATGAATCCTTCAATATTTTTTGACATTTCAAGAATAATTATGACTCGTGAGAATGTTCTTTGTGATTTTTTGATATTGAAAGAAGAATTACAATTCAAGAGAATGCTCACTATGGCTTGCCAAAGTAAACATCGTTTGATATGTTCCTTTCTCTTTTGCAGGTCCAGAAGGTTCTAGAAATCCACCAATGGAAAAGTCTCAAAATGCTTTAACTGTTGGTCCATCATTACGACCACAAGGATTGTTAGTACTCTTCTTCTCTTTCAAACAAACATCCCTTGTGCCAGAGAATCGAGTTTCCTCACACATTTTATGCTTTTTAAATTTATTATCAAAAAACAAAACATCAGATTTTTGGCCAATGTATCTGGCATTACCAATTTCCAGCTTTGTGTTTTTATGTGTTTCGGGTCTTTTAATTTGTAGCTTTCTTATGTTTTTTTTTTTTTAATTTGTTTGTAAAGCTTTTACGGTAGAGCGTTTGACGTAATGTCACTCATGTTTATGCATCTTCCTCAGAAACGATGTTGGTCTACATGGAAAAGGCACTCCTATTGTCTCTGCTTCTGGGTCATCAGAAAGGTAAAAATTTTGTATTGCATTCTATTTTAGTGTCTGTTTGGAGTGTCTTTTTCTTCCTTTTTTTCCTTTAAGTCGAACGGTTCTCATAATTTGACTTTTATTTGACAAGAAATACCTAAAACATTTAAAAGAACCTTTTTTTTGGGTTTAGACACAAAACGTTACATATAGGAGGAGTTTAAGGTCTACATATGTTGGTAATTCTTCCTTTTAGTAGTTAAGATATCAAATTTGTATAATTTATCAAGCATTTGATTTTTAATTATTTGATTCTCTGAAGTACTATTTGTTAAGCCTAAGGAAATTTACTCTTTGTGAGTTATTGATCATTATAATCACTCTGCGAAATTCTAAACTGAATCAGGAGCACTAGTTGTCCTACGTCACCTATAGTTGGACCACTAGCAGCTGTAGTGTATGTTACATGGATCAGTTGCTTATGCTTTGTAATTTTTCGGATGGCAATGACAAACTGAAGTAAATACTGCCGTATCCTATATTTTTTGTCAAAATAGGACTTTCATAGTACTGTTGCCTGGTTATAAGTTGGCATGCATCTATGTGTAGAATCCACTGAGGTGACATCAGGACATTTCTTGATGGTTTCTGAAAAGCTGTGTTGTGGATTCTCATAATTTGACTTGTGTATTCAAGGATCACTGAGTCTTCTAAAATTGTGATCCAAAATCTTTTATTTGGCCTCATGCTCTCGCTCTGTTTATAGGAATTTTTCTACCTCAGCCATTATGGAAAGAATTCCAAGCAGGTGGCCACGTCCTGTATGGCATCCTCCATGGAAGAACTACAGGGTGAGAATTGTGGCCTAATTTTTCTGGCAGCTGGAAGAAAGTACTCATCTAAATTTATAATACAGCTGTATCTCGTCCATGTTATAGCATCTGCAGTTATTTGCTTGCTTACTTGGATTGTTATGTGTTTTCGTTTTCTCCTTTTTGTATGGGCAGGTCATAAGTGGGCATTTGGGATGGGTTAGATCTATTGCATTTGATCCTAGCAATCAATGGTTCTGCACTGGCTCTGCAGATCGGACAATCAAGGTATTAAGCTTTACAACTGTGCTTTTTGATGATTCCTGGTCTTCTTTTTTTTGAACTGAAGTTTGCTGATTACAGTTGGTCGTGTTTGAGCTCTTTGGATGCTACCATTTGCTACTTTACACTTATATAAATAGTTCTATTGGTTATTTGAACAAGATGATTGCTAGAATCATTGAGTTGCCGGAAAGTTGATCGCTCTTTTCTATGGCAGCATTTTGTTCTAAAACATTTTTGAAGTAATTTTCTTCATTTTAATGTTATGTTGAATTACATGATCTCTACAATTTAATTGTATAAAGTTCAATTGAGATGGAAATTTGCTATAAAATTTTTTGAAATAGATGAGTGTGGACATTGCAGAGACGAGCTCTAAATGCCCTCAACCAAAGGGTGTCTTCAGTTATCCCTTTTTCTCTTCTTTGCATGTATTTTGGTTAAACATATGCTTTCTTCATCAACTTCCCTTTTTGTTTGTGAAATCTGTGCAATCAAGCTCTCTTTATTGATAATATTCTTTTCCTAGATATGGGATCTAGCAAGCGGAAGGCTAAAGCTAACGCTGACAGGACATATTGAACAGATTAGGGGTGAGTGCTTGACAAAATAAACGCTTAACGGTTTGAACTTGTTTCGGCTAGCTACTTTTTACATTCTGACAGTTCTGAGTTTACATCTTCTTTACTTTCAGGCCTTGCAGTGAGCAGTAAGCATACTTACATGTTCTCCGCTGGTGATGACAAACAAGTTAAATGCTGGGACCTTGAACAGAATAAGGTTGTGAATCTATCGCCTCATCAAATGTGAAGCCGTGTTAAATTAGTTAAACACATTATTAAAGAATGTTTTCTGCTATTTCAGGTTATCCGGTCTTATCATGGTCATCTTAGTGGTGTCTACTGCTTGGCTCTTCATCCTACTATTGACATTTTGCTCACTGGGGGGCGTGATTCTGTCTGTCGGGTATGGAAAAATAAGTAGTGATTCATTAATTAAATTGAAATTCTTAACAGGAGCGTGTTTTTATATTTGATTAATTTCTTAGAAGAAAGATGATTACTGATGGACAAAAATATCTAGGTATGGGACATCCGGAGTAAAATGCAAATTTATGCACTGTCCGGACATGATAATACAGTTTGTTCGGTCTTCGCTCGACCTACGGTATGCAAACTATTCATTCTCATTTCACATCAGAATAATTTGGCAAAGCCTTTTGGTTGCAATCTTTTGTTACCCTTTTGTCCATCATTGGTTATTCTAAGTGCATAATTGAAGCTTATGGAGAAACTGGAAAGAGGATAGTTTGAATGCGAAAGTTTATCTATTTGGGAACATTTAGGGATGAATATTCTGATTCAGTTGATGGTTGAGTTTTTCTACTTTTCAAAGTTCCACTTCGGAAAGAGAGAATTAATGAGGACTATCAGGTGCTAAAGCGCCAGAGATGCTTGGATTTTCAAGGGTGATGTAAGTTATTTCTTGAATATTCGGGAGTGTTTGTCCATGGCCTTATATTGTTTAGGCAATCACAAATGCCGACGATGAAACTTGTGCTTGTCTCCTCTAGAGTGTAAGATCTCTTGGTATTGTTATCACTGCAGCATGTTGCATGGACAATTCAACATCATGTAGTCCATGACTGTTAGTCTCTTTTGGTTGCAGTTCTCTGTGACTCTCTAGTTATTGCTCATGAGTCGTAAGGTGATACTAACGAGAGTTTTCCACTTCTTAGCACTTTTGACTTCAATGGATGATCCCACATTTAGAGTGAACAAAGAATTTAGTCTTGGTGATTTATGTTGTTGTAGCTCTGATAAATCGAGAAGTAGAATAAGGTTTTTGGTCGAAGCAGTGATGATGCGGTTCTCTCTCTCTCTCTCTCTCTCTCTCTCTCTCTCTCTCTCTCTCTCTCTGAGACCGTAGGGGTGACGGATCAACTGGTATAATGTGTTGAACTGCTTCTGGTTCAGAATTCGTGAATGTGTTGGAGACTAGCTGTTGTCAAACTTGAGGGAATAGTCCCAGTCCACATGCTTCATCATTCATTTTTAAAGTTGAGAGAGAGAAGCAATTAGTAAAATCACCAAAGAATCTTTTAATAGGACGCTTACTCAGCTGAGTCGTGAGCAGCACAGTGGGACTTCTTTTTTTTTTTTTTTTTCAGTGGGACTCATTTGAGGGAGGGGGTTCTATTCCTAACCCCAACCTCAACAAGCCACTTTTGTTTTGTAGAAATTAAGTCTGTTTAACATTATTGACATCTTTTTCCTTTTACCTGTTGAACTGTGGTCCCATTTTCGACCGAAAAAAAAAACTGTCGTCCCATCCGGGTTTTTTCCAGCGAGGCATTTAAGAAAACCAGACCAGACTCAAGCTTGGTTTGCAGTTCAATTTGTTGAACTGACCAGTCCATTTACTCTTTGTTTTTCTCCTCTAGCTCTTTTAAAAATTGAGGACTGGATGGTCGGATTTTCGCTGTGTACTTCAACTCATTATAATTTGAAGCAGCAGTTATTTTTTCTCTAGCTTATCTCTGGATAATGCTTATATATATGACAGACATTTGTTCTGATACTTTTGACTCTCTGGATAATGCTTATATATGTATCTCTTCTGATACTTTTGACATTCAGGATCCACAAGTCGTAACAGGCTCCCATGATACAACTATCAAGTTCTGGGACCTTAGATATGGTAACATAACGTTATTTGCAATTCCTTTCCCTATGAGTTATATTTGTTGATCCCATCATTTTCATTGCATGATGTGTTTTTTGTCTCTTTGCAACCTGCTTTAGGAAAAACGATGACCACTCTCACTAACCATAAGAAATCCGTGCGAGCAATGGCCCTGCACCCTAAGGAGTAAGCATTTTGCAAGAGATTTAGCTAATACTTGTATTAAACCTGTTTAATGTGCTTCTAATGTTGTCTTACACTTCCCCTATTACAGGAACTGTTTCGCATCTGCATCGGCTGATAACATCAAGAAATTCCAGCTGCCTCGAGGGGAATTTCTCCACAACATGCTGTGAGTATTCAAATAAGCCTCGGCTGTCTGTATAGCATCTATTTGATGGCTGACTCTTAGTTGGAGACCTTTTCTTTTCATGTCTGCCAAACACATTATCTTTATGAGAAGAAGGGTGTCTATGATATTGACACACGTATCAGTGAATAATGCTGAAAAACCTTTTGTCCACATTGCATGATAAAATGTCCTCTGTTTATTGAAAAAATCGATAAAGGCATCTCTGTAGAAGTTCAGAGGGTGGTGAGTACAGCTAGGTTCTCTACCCTTGTATCTTCTTGTTTTCTGCTGAAGCAACTTCACTAGATTACTCTGGTGCTTAGCCTTCTCAGGGACAAAGGTCTCAACCTTTTATGTTTATGTAGTAAAGAAGTTGCTTTCTGCATTGTTCTTAAGTATATGCTTTGTTTTTTGCACAATTTAAGTTGGGGTATATCATGGTCTAAAAGCCTGAGGCTTTGAATAAGTTTTTTCAATTCTTAAGTGCGGTGTCTACAGTCTAATGCTGTACAAATTACAGTTCATTTATCTAAGAAATTCCTTAAAGCAACGGTCCAATGTATTGGCGATGTTTATGTCATTTAACAGCTCACAGCAGAAAACTATAATCAACACGATGGCAGTCAATGAGGAAGGTGTGATGGCTACAGGAGGTGTGTTTCTTGACTTTCTTTATTTCTTTTTCATTTATTCTTCAACTTGAAAATGTTAGGTGGTGTTTGAGATCTTAAGCTGTTGACAAGCATCTACTTCCTTCACTAACATTTAGCACACTTAAAGGCCTCGACTTAATGTGAGTGGGAAAAATATTCTTCCCACCCAACCTCTTCTCATCCTCCTCTTGTCGATGCTTTGATGGAAACCTTTTCAATTTTTATTTTTTTTTTGGTTTTAAGGTGACAATGGGAGCTTATGGTTCTGGGACTGGAGGAGTGGCCACAATTTCCAGCAAGCTCATACAATTGTACAACCTGGTATGTGTGCCAAAGACATTTCCATCGTTTCAAGAGGTTTTTACTGATTTATTATTGCACATAATAATATAAAAATTCTAATGTAAGTTGCATTCAGGATCCCTGGAGAGCGAAGCTGGTATATATGCTCTCTCCTATGACTTAACTGGTTCAAGGCTGGTGTCATGCGAAGCGGACAAGACCATAAAAATGTGGAAAGAGGACGAGCTTGCTACCCCAGAAACTCACCCTCTCAATTTCAAGCCTCCCAAAGATATCAGGCGGTTCTAGTTCTTGGTGGCCATCCTGTTACTGCTTGGCGACATGTCCGTACTTCCATGCAGCCTGTTGCTCCAACAGATCTTCTGCATCTGCTCTTCGAAAGAAAGCATCTGTGGAATGGCACACAGAGCCTGCAAAGATAGTTCTATGAACGTTTTCTTGATGGAGCAGAATTGAGCTGGAACGAAAACCAGAAGTCGGGGACAGCTTTGAGTTTTCCTTAGATCATGTAATTGTATCTCAAATTATAGTAGCTGTATTCTGTACAAACGCTCCAGAAAGTTGTGAGGACAGCATAATGATCGTTATAGGATGTTTGTGAAGGTCTATGAACCTTGAAAATTTGGGCGTTTGAGAGAGAGAGAGAGACAATGCATCCGTGCATTGCGCGCTTTGCTCGTGAGACTGATGTAGCAATTTTGCAAACTGTGAAGGGATGGCATTTTTCAAAAGCTAGGCAACTCAACCCTGGTCATATTGTTTGTCAACTTTTCGATACACATCGAAGAGAAAATGACTCGGACGTCAACGAGGTACTGATGGGTTTGGTAGAGGTATTCAAGTTGGATTCTTTAATGAGTTGGTAAGAAATGGTCACTCTTTTGAGATAGATCAAGTGAGCAATGTTGTGACAACGTTCAATAGACTCTGGTCGAATCATGGGACAGGGTGGAATGCAATGAATGCAGCCATCTACCTTTCATGTTATCATGATAAGTCAATGCTCATATTTAAAAGTCATGTCAAAATCTCGTTAGTTCATCGTGGAAGATGGTGATGGATTTGATTAGATTCCTACACTCCTTTGGACTCCCCCATGCAAGTACCATGAAATTTCCTTGTTTAATCCTGCACGATTGGTGGCATGTCTGCTATCATTGTGCGCTAAAAAACGAACCCCCAAAACAGAAAAAGGTCATCACCTTCACTAGTTTTGCTTGCCCCTTCCCTCATGGACGTGCCATTTTCTCCAAACCTGCCGACCATCAAGTAACATAAAAAAAAGTAAGAATCGATTGAAAGAGATCAACACCTAACAAGAGCAACATCATCTGTTTTCCTCAGAGGCCATGACTGGTTCCCACTTCCCAGCCTATCCTGCCGCCATGGAAAGAGAACTTTTTTGGCCAATCAAAGGGCGACTTTGTCGCCATTTTCAACCGAGTTATTATCGAATGATTCCGGTGTATGTGAGACCAACGCACGCAACGTTGTTACCATAGTTTTTCTCTCGGACCAGGACTATAGAGAGACCCAACGGTGCTTCCTACGTGGCAAAGTGGGTCATTGTCACTGGTCATGAATTGCTCCTTTTTTTTTAATGATTTGTTCGGGTCGTACGCACTGGTCATGAATCATCATGATGTGTGGACTACACACGAAAGAAAGGCGCGAGAGATCTTGAAATGGGAGAAAATCTTAGTACGCAACTTGCACCCGACACAAAGCTAGCTCCTTGGGTTGAATCCTCGCTGTATTCAAAGAAAGGGAACTGCTCAACAAAGCCACAGGTTTTGTCCCAAGGAAAAAAGAAAAAAAAAAAAACACTGTCCTTATCGCGCTTGCAGCCTTTTCTTCAGAAAGCCCATCTTCGATAGACGAACCGCCCCGGATTCATGAAATGCTCCGCAAAGTTATCACAGATCTCGTGTACCATCGCTGCGACCGCTCGATCGTCGTAAACGACAAAACAGAAATTGTTACAGATGCGCTTATTATATAGTCCTAAAGGTAGGAACTTTGTGCAGCTCGATGAACCTGACAAAGCTTATTAGAACTAGAGCCATGAGGTCCCAAGATGGAAGCCCACATGTGATGCGACATGAAAAGTGGGAACGGTGCGATGTTGCTTCCCCCACATAAAACTGTCACTAGTCAAGAATTCTCTCATGCATCCACTCCCCCCCCCAAACCCCAAAAAAATATAATAATAGTTGTATAATTTAATAACAAAAAAATGGGTCTTCTTCCTTTTGTGCATGAGGGTTTGGCATTTCCTTAATTATTATTAATTATTGATATTTTGGCAGAGCAGTAAACTGCAAATAAAGTGGGATCAACGTTAATTTCTTTTTGTTTTTGTTGATCTCTGGTTTGCTCTCGAGAGAGAGAGAGAGAGAGAGCGCGAACGAAGCAGTCTTACACGCGTTCTTGAGCGACTCTTCGCCTACAATTCATGCACGAATTTCACTCCCCTCTCCTCTTTCTCTCTCTTGAACCATTCAAATCTCTCTCTTTGATCGACACAGAGACACACAGACAAACGCGAAAGACACAGCCCGAGATCTTCTTCCCATAGAGAGCAAAGGGAAACGAGGCATGGCTTCCGAGCTCACTCACCGAAACCAATCCCATCAGCCTCACCCACCTCCTCCGCCGCCGCCGCTCTCTCTCCCGGAACGGCATCGACGTCGCCGCCGTCTCGCTCCCGCCTCGTCGCCGCCGCGCTGCACCGCGTCTTCTTCGTGTTCGTGGGCATCGGCATCGCCACCCTCTTCTTCCACGCGGTCTTCCCCAAGCACTCTCCTCTGCCGCTGCAGCATCCGCACGTTGCGGCCTCCGAGCTGTCCCACCGCCGCATCCTGTACGAGGCGGCCCCCGAGGAGGACGATGTGGCGGGCACGAGCCTGGCGATGGGGACGCGCCACCTGGGCAGCATGAACGCGGGAGGGAAGGTCCCCCTGGGGCTCAAGAGGAAAGGGCTGAGGATCGTGGTGACGGGCGGGGCCGGGTTCGTGGGGAGCCACCTCGTGGACCGGCTGATCGCGAGGGGGGACAGCGTGATCGTGGTGGACAACTTCTTCACGGGGCGGAAGGAGAACGTGGCGCACCACTTCGGGAACACCCGGTTCGAGCTCATCCGCCACGACGTGGTCGAGCCCATCCTCCTCGAGGTCGACCAGATCTACCACCTCGCCTGCCCGGCCTCCCCTGTCCACTACAAGTTCAACCCCGTCAAGACCATCATATCCTTTCTACCATTCATTATTATTCTTTTAACTGCAACCCTAATGCAGCATGATATGCCTGAGAATGAGATCTAGATTGGTACATCAACACCAGAACAGAGTTATTCATTCCTTCAAATGGTAAGAGTTTATCTAAGTGATATCTTGGAAGCCATCCAAGAAGTTCTTTTATTAGATGGTTAATAAGGGGACCAAATCCTAAGTACTTTGAATTTTCCTTAGAATGTACGAAAGCGACGAGGATTAAAATAATGTCTTGGTGATGGTCAACTACTGGTAATGGTCTGGTTTCCTTAATACGAAGTGATGATCATCACAAGACAAATGTGGTGGGAACGCTGAACATGTTGGGGTTGGCGAAGAGGGTCGGGGCGCGTTTCTTGCTCACCAGCACCAGCGAGGTTTACGGCGACCCCCTTCAGCATCCCCAGGTGGAGACCTACTGGGGTAACGTCAACCCCATCGGTCAGTCTCTCTCTCCTCTCTTCCTCTCTCTCTCTTTCTCTATAAAATGTGTACAGATTATTGGCCATTAGGTGCATGATTAGGTCTAGGCTCTTCATCGGGTTTATGTTGGCTTGGGATTGACCACATCAGATGCCTATATTTTGTCCATTATGTGAGATCCATGTGAGACCTAGATTTCATCCCGCCGTCGTAAACTAGAGGTGATCGATGGGTGGGGCGGCCCTAGAGGCCCGAAAAGCGAATGGGCGGGGGCTGGGCGATGATTAAAGCCCGGCCACTCGCACTTGGCATGGGTCCAACCCGGTCCGATCCAAGGTTTTGTACGTGAATTTTATATTATGGGCGGGCTTGGACAATATGTTAGGCCCGACCTTCGGACCTTGGCCCGCCCAATGATCACTTCTAACAAAGGACCACCCCACTCTCGTGCATCGAACATCTAGATAAGGTTCGATCGAATGGAACCCATGTGAGCTTCCTCAGACAATGTTTAGGTGCCGGGTGCATTTGATTTTAAGCCCACCTGTAGATCCACCCTTCGCAACCAAGTGAGCATCTTTAGAAATTGGAGGGTGCATTAATTACTATGATACAGAAAGTTTATTGACTAGACTCGAACCAATTCAACAATCAGGAAAATAGAGATTACCATGCCAGAAGAATGGAAAAAAGCTAGGAGATTCATACCATAGACTTTGTAAATGATTGATCCTGTCACATTGGCAATTTGGTCTTGCTGAGCAATTTCTCCCTCACCATTAATCTGCACCATATCATGAATCAATCTGTTCATATGGATATTTGGATGGTGGCAGGTGTGAGGAGTTGTTACGACGAGGGAAAGCGCACGGCGGAGACTCTGACCATGGACTATCACAGAGGTCTAGGAATTGAGGTACACAAATCAATCCATTGAAAGAAGTTTACTGCAATTGGTACATGGAATCGAAGTGTCAGTCGAAAGCCGTATGCAGGTGAGAATTGCTCGGATCTTCAACACCTACGGACCTCGTATGTGCCTCGACGACGGTCGCGTCGTGAGCAATTTTGTCGCCCAGGTACCGTCTCTCTTTTTTCCTGGCGCAAAGAGCTGTGCAAAACCAGTATAGCCACGATGCAAATTGGGTTGTAGGTACATAAATTTCTTCTCATAATGTGATATTCGTAATCGAAACAGGCTTTGCGGAAAGAGCCGTTGACCGTTTACGGCGATGGGAAGCAAACCAGGAGTTTCCAGTATGTTTCCGACCTGGTACGAGCCAGCTTCTTCGTCTACCGTCATCGAGTTACATCATGTGGGAACTTTTAGCATTAGGATTAGCCATCTATCTGATTATGTTCTGCGGTCAGGTGGAGGGTCTGATGAGGCTGATGGAAGGCGAACATGTCGGTCCCTTCAATCTCGGAAATCCCGGCGAATTCACCATGCTCGAACTTGCCAAGGTAAAATCAATTTGCATGCTTAGAATTAAGTACCCATCCTCTGATAATTCGTTCTTCAATTTTATCGATTTTCAAAATTTGTCCTTGTCATGTCAAAGAGGTGATTAACTGGCAAGCCCGAGCCTATCCTTCAATTCGAGCCTAACTTGTTGCTCAAACCCACTTATCTAGACACGAAATACATAGTATTTTTCAAGTGAGTTGGGTGGGTCTAATCGGGCCGGACTAGGCTTTACAACTAGAGTTTCTTAGCCTATGCTGCCCGAGTTGATCCTCGAGCACATTTCATTGATTTTATGCCCGATGAACTTTCGAATTGGTCAGCGTGTTATATTCAAGTGCAGGTGGTACAGGAGACGATAGACCCGAATGCGAGAATAGAGTTCAGGCCGAACACCGCCGATGATCCCCACAAGAGGAAGCCCGACATCTCCAAGGCCAAGGAGCTCCTGGGCTGGGAGC